AATGTTCTGAAGAAAAGTAAAACAGGGAAGGGAGATGTGAGATTTAAAACCAGGGAGTTAGCACCCTGACCGGTGTGGCTCAGTTGGTTGAGCATCTTCCAGCAAGGCGAAAGATCAGGGTTTGAACCCTGGTCAGGGCACATGCCTGGGTTGTGGGTTCAGTCCCTGGTAGGGGTGCATATGAGAACAACCAATCAATGTTTCTCTCTCACATTGATGTTTCTCTCCTTCTTCTCCCTCTCTTCCTTTCTCTCTAAAAAATAAATAAAATATTTAAAAACAATAAAGAAAACCACAAAGTCAGGAAAAGCCTTACTGAAAAGGTAACAGTGGGTAAAGATCTGAGTGAGGACAGTGGGTAAAGATCTGAGGAAACCATGCAATACTTGAGTTTGAAAGAGTTTTCTAGGCAGAGGGGATGACAAGTACAAAGGACAAGGCTAGAGTGAGCAGGTTTGGGGTGGGGGTGAGAGATGCATAGTGTCACATTGGTTAGAGCCTTGTAGGCCACTGTGAAGACTTTGATTTTTATTTTCAATGAAATTTAAACTGAGGTTTCAAGGACAGGCATGTAGGAAGGCATAAGGCTCCCAGGGCTGCACATTCTGGATTCAGTTCATTCATTTTTTTAATACTTTTAAAAAAGATTTTATTTACTTATTTTTAGAGAGAGGGGACAGGAGGGAGAAAGAAAGGGAGAGAAACATCAATGTACAGGAAATATATGTTGCCTCTTGCATGTCCACAGCTGGGGACCTGGCCTACAACCCAGGCATGTGCTCTGATTGGGAATTGAACTGGAAATCTTTTGGTTCACAGGCCAGCAATCAATCCACTGAGCCACACCAGCCAGGGCCAGTTCATTCATTTTTTTAAACTAGCCCTCTATTATTTATTTTCCAAACATTAAGGGAGGCCCACTTTGCCCCCGGGATTGTGCTGGACACTGGGGAGACAAAAAAAAGACTCTTCCCTCAGGTCTAGAGGAATAAAACCTTTCAGGGTGGGGTGAGGTCCCGTCTTCCTGCAGATGGAGATAATACTGACAGTGTGACTTTGGAGAGCCATAAGCTTGGGAAATAAGCACGTGACAAGCTGGGGAGGAGCCACACTTGGGGAAGGGGGAAGCTGGAGATTTTGGAAGTGGGGGTGGGGGAGAAAGGACAGACTCTTACCAATCATTTTCCCTCTTCTCTGTGGTATGAGAGGCCCTGTCTCCTGTTGGCTCTGAGCTCTGGGTTCAGACTGGGCAGGGGAGGGGACAGTGGGATAGGCCAGGACAGGTGGCCTTGACATGTGTTTCTTGTTCCCTGGCCACTCAGTCTTCACTTTTAGAACAGTTTCCATTTGGAGAGGAGTGTTTTGCCTGAGAAAGAGGGCTTCTGCAGTATGGGGAATGACTCAGCACAAGGATCCTGGCAGTTGTTCCTTAAGTTCTTTCCCCAGAATCACCAACCCCAGACTTTCCTCAAGCATCTCTAGGCCACTCTACCCTCCCTCTCCTGGAGCCCAGGAACTCCTTGGGCAAATCACTGATTCCAGATATGGGATGAAGGAGGTACAAGGTGAGCCTGGAAATCTTTTATGCTATAAATTTCAGGCTCTGGGGTACTGAATCAATTCAATCCAGTTTAATGAGCATCATCAATGTACAAAGCGATATGCCCATAGAACAACTGGAAGAATCTTTGCAGATCCACTTGAGATCCTTAGAATCCACTGGAGAACCATTGATCTAAAAGCATCTTGATTTCAGAACCCTGTTGATGTGAAATTATCTGTTCCTGACCACAGAGAGCTACTACTTAACAATTCCTGGGAGAGGACCCTGTGCAGTGAGAGCTGGCCACAATCCATGCCTTGTAGACAGGTTGCTGAGATTGTACCAGAGAAGAGAAGGCCGCAGGTCTGTACCCTTCACTCTACTAGAATGCAGAACTCTGTTCACATACATTTAGGAAAGAAGACTGTGTATGGAGGTAGCAGCCATGTTGCAATGAGCCAACAACACAGGTTATATGAAGAGCGAGCTCAGAGAGTAATGAAGCCATACCCTGGAAACATGAAGTTACAACTCTCCCAACCAAGCTGAGCCCTGAGAATGAGATAGTGCCTTTGGTCAAACTGCTCTGAAATTTTTTTAAAAACAGACTCGTGTTGAAGTTTCAGTTACCCATGGTCAACTGCAGTCCAAAAATATTAAATAAGGGCTACTGTCCAAGATGGTGGCATAGGTAAACATAGCTCACTTTCTCTCAAAACCTCATCAAAATTATAACTAAAATATAGAATAACCACTATTCAGAATTATTAGAAACCAAGTTCAATGGAAGTCTGAAAACTACGGAATTAAAGAAACCTCATCCATTCAGATTGGTAGGACAGGCACAGACACAGAATGGGCTGGATCCACACCCAGGTTGATGGATAAAAATTCAGGAGAGGCATCTCAAGAGCAAGGAGTCCCAGTCCTACAGCAGGACCCCAAGCTCAGGGTTCCAGTGCCAGGAAGATAAGTCCCCATAACTTCTGGCTGCAAAAACCAGCAGGGACTGAGTTGGTGGAAGAAACTTCTGGAGTACCAAGCAGTTCCTCTTAAAGAACCCACCCATGGACTTACTCAGACTCATTCCCTCTGAGCTCCAGCATCCTGGTAGCAGCTTAAAAGGCACCAATGTCATATAGGAAGGAACTTAAGTACCTAGCATCAAGAAAAGAGCTGGGGGGCAGCTTTCTCCCAGATAGAAAGGCAAGCAGAGGCCATTGTCCCTTTCTGAACCCTCCCCCCACAGAGCCACAGACCCAGCAGGTGGGTGCCATATCAGAGACTCCATCAGCCTAGGTAACACTGTTTGCCCTGCCCTGGAGATCCCTTGAGGCCTGATCCCACCCAAATTACGGGTTTACCCAAGCTGTTAACCGTGACTTTTCCATGTGAATGGCTAGTCTTGACTCATGTTTGACAACTTCCTAAATCCTCTCAAACAAACAACAGCTGGCCTCAGTGAGCCCTCAGTCTCCATACCTCTTGCTAAATGGCCCCAGGCCTAGCACTGGCAGCAACCAGCTTAGATTCATAGCTTGGCTTCACCTGGGAATCTCCAAGCCCAGCCCAAGTAGCAGCCATCTCAGATGGCTTTATACCTTAGGCAGGCTGGTGCTGGGCAGAATATGGGCTGGGGCTGAGCTTGGCCTGCACCACTCGGGAAATCCCAGAGCCAGCACACCCAGTGGACAGCTACAGACCACATCAGAGCACCATCACCCTTCCCCAGCACAGTGAATCCTCTACAGAGGGTGGAGGTTGGTGGTCAGTGGCCAGAGCCAGTGCTTGCAACTGACTGGCCTGGATAAATCCCTCCTATTGACCTGCCAACAGCAGTCAAGGCTCAACTGCAAGAGAAGAGTGTACTCAGCCCACATAAAGGCACACTTCGAGGACCCAGCCTGGGTTATAGGGGAGGCTATGCCACTGGACCTTACTGGACGCCTACTACATTTGGCCATGCTACCAACACAGGGAGTCATAGCAGCCCTACCTAATACATAGAAACAGACACAGGAAGGCTGCAAAAATAAGAGACAAAGAAACATGGTTCAAATGAAAGAACAAATCAAAACTCCAGAAAAAGAATTAAACAAAAGGGGGATAAGCAATCTATCAGATGCAGAACTCAAAACACTGGTTATAAGTTTGCTCAAGGAACTTAGTGAGGACCTCAACAGTATAAAAAAGATCAGTCAGAAATGAAAGATACGTTAGTTGAAATAAAGAACAATTTGTAGGGAAACAACAGTGGAGTAGATGAAGCCAAGAATCAAATCAATGATTTAGAACATAAGGAAGAAAAAAAACACCCAACCAGAAAGCAAGAAGAAAAACGAATCCAAGAATCCTTGGTTGGATAGTATAAGCAGCTTATGGGAGGACTTCAAGCATTCCAACATTCTCCTCATAGAGGTGCCAGAAGGAGAAGAGAAAGATAAAAAAATTGGAAATGTATTTGAAAAAATAATGAAAGAAAATGTCCCTAATTTGGTGACAGAAATAGACATGCAAGTCCAGGAAGTACAGATAGTCCCAAGCAAGGTGGATGCAAAGATATCCACACCAAGACACATCATAATTAAAATGCCAAAAGTTAAAGACAAAGAGAGACTCTTAAAAGCAGCAAGAGAAAACCAGTTAGTTACCTACAGGGCAGTTCTCATAAGACAGCTGATTTCTCAAAAGAAACTTTTCAGGGTAGAAGCGTTTGGCAAGGAGCATTCAAAGTGGTGAAAAGCAAGGACCTACAACCTAGATTACTCTATCCAGCAAGCTATCATTTAGAATCAGAAGGCAGATAAAATACTTCCCAGATGAGGTAATGCTAAAAGAGTTCATCATCACCAAACCAATATTATAGGAAATGTTAAAGGATGTTATTTAAGAAAAAGAAGATCAAAACTATGAACATTAAAAATTGCAATTAATACATAGCTGTCAACAACTGAATCTAAAAAACAAACTAAGCAAACAAGCAGAACAGAAACAGAATCATAGATATGGAGAACATTGGGATGGTGGTCATTGGGGAGGGGTGTCTGTGCTAATGGGGGAAAATATGAGAGGATCAAGAAGTACGAATTGATAGCTACAGAACAGGCAGTGGGATGTTAAGAGCAAGTATAGGAAGTGTAGTTGCCAAAGAATTTATATGCATGACCCATGGATATGAACAAAGGAAGGTGGTTCGCCAGAGGCAGTAGGGGGTTCTGGGTGGAGAGGGGCAAAGGAAAAAAATGGGACAATTGTAATAGCATAATCAATAAAAATTAAATAAAATATTAAATGAAAAGAAAAGAATAAAAGAACAGTTTCCAGAAGTGATGGGAGGCTGAGGCAGGGCAGCTAAATATAGTCCCGGGGCGAGGGCTCAGTCTGGGAGGATCTGTCTGCTATTCACTGCTGCCCATCACAGTGATGTCCACTGCTAGCTGCCCCTGAGAGGCCCCTGTCCTTGCCCTGAGCTTGTTGCCTGCCTCTCACCTGTATTCAGACACAACTCTGACCTCGCTGTGGTTAGTTAGGCCTGACGCCGGCGGAGCCTCCTGGGAGTCTCTTTTTGCCCAAGATCGCCAGCCAGACCTGTGAGTCCTGTGGATCCTGGGGGCCTGGAGATACGGGCGAGGGGAGGGCTGGGGATCCTGAGGGGGTGAGAGGAGGTTAGGGCTGGGGGCTTTGGAGAATTTGGGGCGAAGACAGGGAACGGGCAGAGGGTAAGCCTGTGTTTGCAACTTGGGCTCTGTGTTTAGGAACTAGGATTGAGACAACGTCCCTCATTGCTGGGCGGAGGCAAATGGCTGGGGCTGGGGCTGGGGCTGGGTGGCTGGCCGCTCAGCCTCCCTGACCGACCTCTCCTGTACCCAGGCCCGCCATGTCGGCTGCGCCCAGCCTCCTGCACCAGGAGCTGTCCTGCCCGCTGTGTTTGCAGCTTTTCGACGCGCCCGTGACCGCAGAGTGCGGCCACAGCTTCTGCCGCGCCTGCCTTAGCCGTGCGGCGGGAGAGCCGGCGGCGGACGGCACGGCGCCCTGCCCGTGCTGCCAGGCACCCACGCGGCCGCAGGCGCTCAGCACCAACCTGCAGCTGGCGCGCCTGGTGGAGGGGCTGGCACGGGTGCCGCAGGGCCACTGCGAGGAGCACCTAGACCCGCTCAGCATCTATTGCGAGCAGGACCGCGCGCTCGTGTGCGGCGTGTGTGCGTCGCTGGGTTCGCACCGCGGCCACCGCCTGCTGCCTGCAGCTGAAGCCCATACACGCCTCAAGGTTTGGGACCCTGGCGGCCTCCGGCGGGGGTCGGGGTCGTATGGGACTCTAGGACGGGGGAGGGCCCATCAGAAGGTTGCTGCACTGACCTTGGACTCTGAGCTTCAGGGCCCGAAGCGCCTAGAGTTTCGGGGGACGTGGGAGGGGCGAGGCAGCTAGGGAATGGTGGTGCTGACTGGCTGAAGGCGGGACCTGGCGGAGGGGGAAGCCTGGAAGAGGCGGGCGGGGGCGAGCCCTGGTGGGACTGGTGCGGCCCAAACCTAGATTTTCCAGGCGCCCAGGCACGCAGCGCTATGCGAAGGCCCATACTGGCACTGAGGCTCAAGTCGAGATTGTTTTTAAGGGAAGTGGGAGGAGGCCGCCAATTTGGCGCAGCCACTAGAGAGGTACAGATGACTGGTCCCATTCTGCAGAAGAGGAAACTAAGTTTGGAAGCCCTGGAACCTCCTAATTGCACCTCCCAACAAAAAGTGGCTTTGGCAGGAGGTATTAGGACCTCCCCAACAACCTGTATTTCAGGAGGCACAGACTGGTAGCCCATGGTGTGCAGGGAGGCTGATTGGGGTATTTCGCTGACGTTCTGCTTTTAAGTATGGGGTGAAGCCCAGGAATAGGAGGAGGTTGCATTTCTTCTTCACACATTCTACACTAACCCCCTGAAGTCTGCGTGTGCCAACTTCGTACCCCTCTGGTGGAGGAGACCCAATCACGTTTGTGTTTGTCATCCTCATGAAGACCTGTGCTGGGGGGGTGACTGTTGAGGGGATGGGCTCTGGCTGAAGAGAACTTGACCTACATAGGCAAGTGGAGGATAAGGCACAAGGTTAGGGGAATGGCAAGATGCCAGCTTGGCTGGAGGGGGAGCTAGCATTGAGGCTGGGTCCTAGAGGGCAGGTTCAGGTGGGGGAGGGCAGCAGCGCCACTTCTTTCTGTCTCACCCCCCAGGCACAGCTCCCACAACAGAAGCTGCAGCTGCAGGAGGCATGTATGCGCAAGGAGAAGAGCGTGGCTGTGCTGGAACATCAGCTGACGGAGGTGGAGGTGAGGGGCTTAGCATGGCAGAGCCCGGGGACTGAGGGTCCAGGCTGGGAGCCCCCAGCCAGGTGCGTTTGCCTGTCTGACCCCACAGGAGACAGTGCGCCAGTTCCAGGGGGCTGTGAGGGAGCAGCTGGGCAAGATGCGGGAGTTCCTGGCTGCTCTGGAGGGCTCCTTGGACCGTGAAGCAGAGCGTGTGCAGAGTGAGGCAGGGGTTGCCTTGCGGCGGGAGCTGGGGAGCCTGAACTCTTACCTGGAGCAGTTGCAGCGGATGGAGAAGGTGCTGGATGAGGTGGCGGACAAGCCTCAGACTGAGTTCCTCATGGTGAGCACCGGATGATCTTCCCTCTGCCCCCCTGGCCAGGGTTCAGGCCCTAGAGACCTCATCCCGTGGTCAGACAGGGACCCTGAGATCCAGAGAGAGGCAGGGACAAGCCAGGGTCACACATGGAGGAGGGGTGGGCCCCAGGACCGCTGTTACGGTTGTTTAGGTTAGATATCGCACAAGGCACCGCACAAGGGCACTATATCTAAGCGGGCGCCATTCACACCATAGACCTTGTAGGTTTGTAAATTTCCTAGGCAATCATCTACCACATAGAATTAGGTTCTTGGGAAAGGGGGTACCTTGTTCTAATTTACACAGAGACAAAGAGCTAGAGGTGGCCTTGAATTCTGGATTCCTTGGCCTTTCTGATTCTTCCTGACCCCGTACTTAGCATTCTTGGTCCACCCCATCCTGAGAAGTGTCTGGTGTCTTTCCTGCCAGCCTGACCTCCATTTTCTTTTTCTCTCTCTCCAAAAATACTGCCTGGTGACCAGCAGGTGAGATTATCCTGTTCTTTCCCTTTTCCCAACTTGCCCTGGTCTTCAGGGACACTGGCTGGCTCACCCTCTACTCACAACATGCCTGCCTAGCCCCACTCAGTCCACTACAATTTCCCTGCACTTCGTGTTGAACATAGAAATGAACCTGATTTGGCCCTTCTCAGGAACCTCCCAGACGGACGAGGGCAGGGACGTAGGCATCACCGTGTGCTCAGTGCTGTGTGGAGGGAAGAGGGTGGCCAGGGCAGGCTTTCCAGGGGAGTACACATTTGAGTTGGACGCTGGAGGGAGGAACTGGAATCAGCTAGATAAAGAGCTGGGGGAAGAGCATTGCAGGCAGAGGGAACATCAAGTGCAAAGACTGGTAAGAGGGAAGAGAGAAGGTGAAGCTGGTGTGGTAGGAGGGGGCAAACTGTGAAAGCTGAGGAGCTTGGACCTTATCCCCAAAACAAGACTTTTAAAAATTTTATTTATTTTTAGAGAGAAGGGAAGAGAGGGGGAAAGAGAAGGAGAGAAACATTGGTTGTTTCTAACATGTACCTTGATGGGAGCAAACATGTGACCTAGGCATGTGTCCTGACTGGGAATTGAACCAGCAGATTTTGCACTTTGCAGGATGTCAGCCAAACAGCTGAGCCACACTGGATAGAGCTTATTGGTTGCTTTTGAATGGCAGGACCAGGAATCTTGGATCAAGACTCAGTAATGTTAGACAGTCTTATCACAAGGGTTCAAGAACTCCCCCAATATTTTTGGGGAGACCATGAGCCAGGATTTAAAAGATATAAAACTAGAGGGAGAAACTGTTAACAATATGTAAATACATCAGTTAAGTAATACTATAGCCACCTTGAACCATTTGGCGTCTTGTGGCTATAAAGTCTCAGCACAGAAGGCCCAGTTTTGCCAACAAGCAGTAAGGTTTGCTGGGTTTCTGCTTGAACCTAGCAAAATGAGTCTTGTTTTACTTATCAAAGAAACTAGATCACACTTTCCAGGGTGGCCAGCTGGCTTGAGAGCTGTGGCAGCAACCTGTAAACTCTCATAGAAAGCTGAAAATTTTTCCTTGGGACAACCTGTCACCATTTATGCAGGCCAACAAGTACTGAGCCTGATAGAGCAAAAAGGAAATTTGTGGCTCACTCCTGGGAGAATACGCATGTACCAAGCAATTCAGAACTGTAAGTTAAATCCTGTCTCCTTTCTCCCAGAGCCTGATTCGGCCATGCTAATGTATAACTATGCCGAAATAATTGATGAAGTTCATTCTGGCAGAATTGATTTAAAAAAGGGTCAATGTGTATCTGAAAGGAAAAGAGGATGATTAACCTCCAATAGAAAGGAAATTAAACATGGAACAGAAATTTTAAATTATTAGAGGCTGTTCAAGTGCCTTTATGGGTGGCGCTTATGCACTGCCCCGGGCATCAGAAAGAGGACACTGAAGTGGTTTAAGGAAACAATCTGGCTGATTGAGCAGCAAAAGAGGCTGCTAAAGGAACATTAAACCCTTGTCATTTAACCCTGAATATTGGAGTGCAGACTTAAAAAAAACTTAAGAATTAGGGTTTTGAACCACCTATATTAAACCATGGCTCTCGCACATTCTGGAATTTCTAAAGCTATGAGTGCCATAAGGATAATCCTAAAACAGATTCCCCATCAGAAAAAAAAAGAGAAACAATACCAAGGGCCGTGCCTCTTTGAGGACTGACAAATAGACTTTACCCAGGTGCCAAGGGCCCGAAGATGGAAATATTTGTTAGTCTTTGTTGATACTCTTTCAGAATGGGTAGAGGCCTATCCTACTAGAACTGAGAAATCCTTGGCAGTAATGGAACTCCCATCAAAGGAAATAATTCCTCGCTTTGGCCTACCCAGCAGTATCCAGAGCCGTAATGGAGCTGCTTTTGTTTCAGAAATTGCATGGAAGATTAGTAAATTTTTTGGAATCAAGTGGACATTCTACATGGTATGGTATGGAGACATTAGCCTTCTGGGAAGATAGAGATGAAATGTTATGGGAGGCTCTATTCTTCTTGCTGACACAGTAAATATTTACAGATCAGCAAGCAAGCAAAATTTATTAGTGATACATTTTCATGGAAGAGTACAAGTCTAGTGCAGGTGGGTGAGAAAGGCATAGGCGCTTGGTCTTTTGGTCCTGAGGACTTATATAATTCGTGGGACGGGGTGAGGGAATTCCATGTTGATTTGGTGGGAGAAGGTGGTGCATAATCCTCCAAGGGAGGGTGTGACCTCTTTAGCATAAGTATGGGTAGAGATCTGTTAAGGCGGATTTTTACCTTGCTTCAGACCACCTCTCCTTATTCTGTTAAAAACAGATATGTGGCCAGAGGCAGTTAATCAAAATTATTTATGAGTTTGCAAGTACTATGGGTTAGTACTGGTCTTGTCATCTCGAACCCATTAGGGAACCAAATTCAGTGGAGGACAAGCCCCTACCAGGGCAGGGCAATACCCTTTGTGAAAACTTCCAGTGAGAGTAGGACCAGAGGGCTGGCCCACTGGATGTTATTGGGCACACACTCCGTTTTCTATATCAGATCTGTTAAACTAGAAAAACTCTGAAAGGACCAGAATATATCCCTTTAGAGTGGACAGAGTGCACCAGACTTTTGAGTCCCTGAAGGCACACGTAGCTTCTACACCAGCTTTGGGGCTTCCAAACCTACTAAAGGCCTCCAAGTTACACGTTCATGAAAGTCAGGGCTTTTCCCTAGGATTCCTCACCCAAATGCTTAGTAACATTTTGTAACCCACAGCTTACTTGTCAAGTAAACCAGGTCACACTGTCTAGGGGTGGCCAGCCTGCTTGAGAGCCACGACAGCCACCTGTGAGCTCTTATAGGAAGCTGAAAATTTTCCTTGGGATACCACCATTTATGCACCTCACCAAGTGTTGAGCCAGCTGGAGCAAAAGGGAAATGTGTGGCTCAAACCTGGAAGAAATGTACCAAGCCATTCTTCTTGACAATCCCAATGTCTCCCTCAAAACTGTAAGTTAAATCCTGCCTCTCTTCTCCGGGAGCCTGACTCAATTTGGTGACACATGACTGTGCTGAGAAAACTGAAGTTATTCCAGCAGAATTGATTTACAGGACCATCCTCTGGAAGAGGCAGGCTGGATTCTATGTGCAGATGGAAGCAGTTATATGGATAAAGGAAACAGAAAGCCTGGGTATGTCGTTGTGATTTTTGAAGGAATAGTAGAGATCAAGGCCTTGCTGCTGGGAACCTTTGCTCACAAAGCTAAACTTATTGCATTGAGGAAGATACTGGAATTGTCACATGAAAAGAGAGTGAATGTGAAACGAAACCACTGGGTTCTATTGCCTACCTCTGATAAGAACTGTGACTCCCAATGCCAGAGTCTTATGAAAAGGAAAGCGACTATTTACTCAAAAGCTATATAGGTTTAGAAAAATGGCAGAATTCTGCCATTAAATCTCACTCCCTTTAGAAACAAAGAAACACCCACAAATGCTTAGTCCTGCCCTCTCTTGCCAAACCAGGCCAGAGGTCCTATTGATGGGAGAGAACTGGTTCTTCTTGTTTATGCATGTAACAAATTACATATCAGTAAATTGTCCTTTAGAAGAAAACAGAGGTCTGGAACTCGGCTAGGCAGGCATCTTGCGGTTCCCAGCACCATCAGCTGTGTCACTGTGATTTCCGGTTCTTAATCCAAATCCACTTGGCACTTTTCCATGGCCCACTAGCAAGAGTCCTTTCTCCCCTTTCCTTCCTGCATGGTCTTCGCATTGTTCCCCCATGGCATGGAGTGAACTATCTCCGAGCTCTCAGGCACACCTGCTGTAACGGGGGGGCGGGGGGGGGCGGGGGGGGCGGGAAGCCGCTTGCATGGCTGCTACATCTCGCTTCCCTGCTTCCCAAAACTGCGTGGTCAGAAGCCTCTAGCATGACTGCCACGCCTGGGTCCAAACCCCGGCATGAATCCTCCCCTGCTAACCCCATCTTCGACTCCTTCGGCAGGCACCTCAATGAGAGGGGTGCTGCTTTCTCAGTTACATCCTGGGTTAAACACTTGCAAACCTTCCTGGTTAGCCTTGTTGATTCGCAAAGTGACCATCTTTCATCTTTGCACATTGCGAATGAAGCTATCCTCCTGTTACTGACAGGCAAAGAAACTCTCAATAGCCCTGCTCTAAGTCTTATATGAAGCTGGCCTGTTATTGACATGCAAAATGACTCTAATGGCCCTGCTCCAGTGTCTCCTATCCCCCATGGCAGCCCACCTAGGGGAGTGAGAATATCCTATATTTTTCTTGGACAGCCCAATTTCTGGATCCTATTACAAATCCCCTTTTTGGGGGGCGGGGCTAGCTGTACCCTGTTACAGTACTATCACTCAGTAAAAGAAATATAAGTCTGTAGGTTAGCTGGGCAGATTCTTGTCTATATTCCAGCTTCTTCCCATTGTCTGTGCTTGGCTAGGTAGGCTCCTGCTCTGAATCCAAAACCGCATCCTCATGGTGGGCCAGTGGTGGTGGGGGGCATCCTTTCAAACTGCATGGCCAAGACAGCGCATGGCTGCAA